GTCGCACGTGAAAAGCCCGATATTGCCTCGAGGCCGCCCCCGATCGCCTCGATGATTATTAATCGACATATCGTGGTCGCGCACTTACTCGGAAGGTAATCCGTTTTCGGGATTTAATTAAGTGACTCGTACCTTCGAGCCGCCAGGAGCCGTCGTTTATCCAGCTGCCTTTATTTATAGGGCCCAAAAGAAATTCTTCGGAATAAATCGTGCAAAATTGGGATTGTATCGATCGAAGGAAAATTATGGGAAATTAAGCGAAGCTTAAATATCGCCTTCTTTTTTAAGAGAACCGAGACCGTGAAATATCCAATTTTGGACGATTTTAAGCGGAGCCGAATAATGAGATAAAATGAAATAAAATGAATTCAAGCAAGACGGCCGAAATACCGAATTTTGGATGATTCGAAGCGAGGCCAAAGAATTATGGAGAATTAATTGAAGCAAGAAAACCGGGTCCATTCTCTCGTTCCGAGAAGGTCGGGAAGGGAGCGGTTTTGGCAGGGCGGGAAGGGAGCCATCCTCGGGCCGTGTCCAGCAGGTGAAATAACAATGCCAGTAAATTTATCCGCCGTAGGTTACGGCGAGGCGCGATATAAGCAGGACCGGGGCGCGTTTATATACGCCGAGGAACGCTTTTAAGCCCAGGCATGTAGAACGCTCGCGCGTTTGGATTACTCGCGCATAATGGCGCCCCTCCCCGGCTCCGCCATTGTGCGGCGACATAACGCGTATACCTTCGCCGGGGTACGCACTTCAGCGCGTGCCCTCCTGGACGCGGGACCCCCCGCGAACCGAGGAACACGCCCCTCCGAATTCCGCAATCCCGCCTCGGGGAGGCTACCTGGCAAAATACTACGGCACTTCCTCGCAGGGGTCGGGAGAATTCGGCGGAATAACCCTGGACCGGGTGATGATGAATTTTGTGGGCAATAACTGATCAAAAAATTCGCAAACAAAAATCGAGGGCTCGTAAAATCCGCCACGTAAAGTTAACCATGTCCATAATCAAAACCGTAAAGCAAGAATTTGGCATAAAAATTCCGGTCCAAAAAATTCGCAAAGCGAGAACTTCCTGTAACGCCCTTGGTCAAGAATCTTGGCGAGATGGGGAAAAATATCCGGGAGACTTATTTCAAATTGAAACACGGAGTGCTCGAAAAACTCGGTCTCCGAGCGTAAGCTAAATAAATTCGGGACATGCATAGAGAGGGAACGAGTATTCTCTCCCCCGAATTTGGCGCTTTGGAAGTCATGAGACCCCCGGCAGAGATCGGTAAAATATGGAAATACCGAAGATGCCCCCATTCCCATTCGTGTGCAAATTCGGGGGAGAATTTGAGCCGCGTGTCCTTGATATCCCCACCCCGCAAGGTAGAAAATATGGACCGTAACTCCATAATCTTGAATATCGCCCGATTTTTCGAATCCTCTAATCGAAGACCGACTCCCATCGTCGACGTCTCCTTCCGACGAGTCCTTGCAAATAAAAACTACTCGACTCGACGAGAAGAACCAAAAGAAGAACGGGAAGAAATCATCCCACGCCGAGGAATCCTCCGCGTTATTTGCAAAGGGGGTACGAATTTTCTCCTCCTTTTTTCCGTAAAAAGTATTCGGCACCGCGGAAACGTACCCCGAGTTTCCAGAGGGAGAAAAGCAATTCGGGAGCGTGTATCCGGCCGAGTCGGCCGGGTCGGCCGGGTGATTTCCCCCGTCCGTTTCTCACCTCTTTTTCCGCCCACCCCGGCCGGCACTTTTCCACCCTTTCTATTCTTTCGCGCCTTCTTTCCGGGTCGCGACGTCTCACCGGTGGCGGAGGTGCGCCTTAAGGATCCGCCCGGGCGGAAAATGACATTTCTGATTTAGCATAATGTAGCGGGCGGGTGGAGTCGCGGCCAAAGATGGATCCGGGACTCGCGGGGTTCGTCTCCCGGTGTTACCGTCACGGGGGAGGGGTGCCTTTTAGCGAAACGACTTCCAAAATTTCCCGACCGATTTTCCCCGAGTCGTCTCGTCCTCGCTTCCGACAGGATTTCTCCATCGTTCGGGCGTTTCACTTATACGTTTTCGAAATCATCGATCTTATCGTTTATTTCTAATAAATTTCCCTAATTTCGGGGCGGGGGAAGTTGCCTGATTTTTCCCGGGGGGAGAAGTCTCGCCGAGAGTTCGTCAAGGATCTCGGTCCTGTCCCTCGGGCCGGATCCGCCGACATCGAATCAAGATCGCGTGGCTAATTCTATCACGAAGTAAACTCTGATTTGGCACATCCGCCCCGGGCGGGTCTTGCGGTCTCTTCGGGAGCCCCTTCGAGTTCGTCCCCGAGTTAGGGTTAAGCCCGAGGCCCGGAGGTCCCTTTCCCGGATTTGCGCCCTGCTAAATCGCCCGTCGACCGAGCCAATTCGAAAGGACGTGCGACCGGTATATCGAGGCGCCCGAGATATAATGGAGTATGGAGGATATATCGCGAAGGGCACAAGAGAGTCGAGAGGAACCCCGATCTTATCCAGCCGGGACTCGAGGGTGTTCCGCCGAAGGACCCTCGTCCCGACGCGATCGCGAGTCGAGGACAAGGATCGCGATCTCTGTCGTCGTCGAGATCAACAAACACAATTAATATAAAAATCTAACCTCGTTTTGACGCGATCGAAAGTCGAGGAGAGGATCCGATATCTTATCGTCAAATTGGTTAAGAACAACAATTAAACGTGTAACCTTTTACCGGTAGGGTTAATATTCTTTAGAATCCGAGCGAAATTGTAGAGGATGAACGAAGGAAAAACTTTAACTCGGGAGACAGGAATTTTCTGCCTTCCCAGGGACTGGAAAAAAGAAGGATTTCGGGTTTTCGACACATTTTCGACGCGGTTCGCATCGAGATCCCCGGATTAATGCCGCCCTGCACTTCGGGTAAAGAGAGTCGAGGGTTCTTCGGATCTTATCCCCGATCCCGCGGAAGCGAGCCGAGGGGTCCCGTAGGACCCTCTCGGCGGAACGCGGATTTGGCGCAGCGGAAAAAACGCCCCTCTCTTCGCCTCCTTTTTTTATCCCGTCTATTAACACGAGGAAGTAATTCGAATCTCGTTTTCGCGACTCGTCCATATATTGAATTTATTACAAATATGTAAACGTCGTACTTTAGCGATAACCACGTATAATTGAATTTAATATTTAATTTTATGTATAGAGTTTTGGAATGATCTTTGCACAGAGGCGGTTACTAGAAAACATCGAGTCAGGAGTACGCGTTCCGCCGGAAGGGGAAAAAAATGGGAAATCGGAAGACGGGCGAGTAAAGTTTTTGAATTTCGAAAAAAGTAGAGGCCAACTTCCCGGACATGAAATCCGATCTCCGGCAAAACGGAGGACGGTCGAGGGAGTACGCAGAGATAAGGGAGAAGCGACCGGAGAACACGGAGATATCGCGATAATAACTCAAATTCGCAACAGCCCGGCGCCATTAAAGCGGATTAAATTCTCCAGGCCGTTGGAGAAGCCGGAATCACGTCGAAGCCCGGACAAGCGTTTCGCGCCGGGTGCTCGAGCCAGTTTAACACGTTATTGCTCATCCCGGTGGAAAGGGAGAAAACAGCCGAGGAACCGAGAAAATCTCCCGAGGGAGACGCCGGGTCCCGGAGGGACCAGGGTGGTCGTTTCGGACCAACCCCCGAAAGTCCGGCTCCTTCGGGGTGGCTTTCCCACTTTTTATCGCTCCCTCCCAATAATCCGGTAAAACGCTCGCGAGTCCGCCATATGGCGAGAACGCTCCGCGAGATACAATGGACGTCGGTTTTGGTTACGTCGGCCCCCGTCAGCCTCGAAATCATCGGCCGGAAAAACGGCCGATGTTCCGTTTCCACGGTGGACGAATGCTAGGAACGGGGCCGGGAAGCAACCCCGATCGCCGACCGCGATAACCAACGATAGCCGGGTAAAAAGGGACCCAGCCGTATTTCTAAGTTGACGTGTACAAAACTACCGTTTTTTAACGATACGAGTTAATTTGACCAATTTTCGAAGGAACGTCGTCATTCGACTCACACCGAATATTAATTTAAATCGTCTTAAATTCGGGATTTAAAAATAAATTTGTAATTTGAATACAACTTTGTACAGTCCAAGTGTACAAAATGCACGGACACGGTGTAGCGACCGTCACCGACACCGACCTCGGTAGCCGCGCACAGGCCGCTCTTCGAGGTGCATTGTCCGGGATCGCGGGCCCGTGGCAGGGCTGGAAATTGCAATGCCCGCTGTAAAACCGTCGTAACCGCTTTTGAAAAAGCTTGGATCACGGTGCCGAGCCCTGCAATCATGGCCGGGAAAGGGTTGCGCGTCCCGGCGTCCCGACGTCCCGATCGGAACCGACTCCCTCGACCCCTTCCGGCAGGGGTCGAGGGCTGGCCTCGAAGCACGGGAGAATAAACGTTCGGTCGAAACCACCCCTTCGATGCAAAACGATCCTCTCGACCGAGGAACCCCGAGACCGATTTTGCTCGTCACCGGGTCTAGGGGGTCGTCGCGTTTCCTCGGAGAGGTTTTCCACCCCGTGGTCGTGGGATTCGAGGGATTCGAGGGATTCGAGGGAATTCTCGTCGCGTCCGAGGACGCTTAACCGTTGACAGGAGCATCCTTCCAGGGGGAAGAAGGGCCGAGGTCGTCCCACGCCCCGCGGATAATAACGCGCGAAGGAGGGTCTCGAAGCATCGCAAACAATTACGGCAGACGTGCACTCGACGTCGATAAGGCGCACCTCTGTTGATAATGCATTAGAGGATGGATGACAGGAGAGGGATAGGACGTCGGGACGATCAATCCCGAACGTCCCGACGACGGTTCCTGGAGTGCCGTCTCCTGTGAGACGGGGCGCGGACGTTCCGAAACGCGGGGCAAATAGGCTCCCCGAAATTAGGGAGGCCTCTCCCCGAGACGTTGCCCATCATTTGGATAATGGACAGATCGTATACGTCCCCTGACGGAGACGAAAGGGCGCTTACCTTCTCGAAACTGGATCACGTTCTCGTGGCGGTCGTTGATGACGAGGCAGCGATAGCACTTCTCCGCGCTGAAAAATCGGTGTTAACGTTCAGATACTCGTTTAAGGTCATTTCGAAGCGGGGTCACAGGGGTTTCTTTCAGAAAATATTCAAATATCGGTTCCTTCGGAACATCGATAACGAAGGATGATTTAGAAAACGTGAAACTCACTTGTCGTAGACGATGTACATGTCGTTCCTTTTGTCGATGCAAGTCCTGTCACCTAAGGTGGAGCCGCTTATCGTCACATTCGACTCCTTTGAGTTCTGGTACCATTGTCCTGTCCAACTGGATGGGAACGTGCAGGATGCTAAAACGAGAAGATATTTCCTAGATTAGTCCCCAAAAGTTGAGATCTTTTCGCATCTAGGTACCCGAATATTCATAAAAACGGTTAATCATTGAATTGATATTTAAACCCCTCTAATAAAATTACCATTTTTTGTCACCCCAAAATAATGTCTTTTTAACTTCTAAATTCGTACCGATATTCCTATTTATTTGTAAAAATGTGAGACGGTCCGACAAGGTTCTCTTCAGCATTTTTATTTCTGCTAGTCTTATATCATCGAACGTCCCAATTTTTCCAATATTAACCGAGAGAGATATTTTTATTCCGTTTTAGAATCGACCAAGTCTGAATCGCGACAGCAACGTTAACCCTGTTTCTTGAGTTTTCGACGTTACGCAAAGACGCGTCGAGGAATATTGCGACTCGTGTCAGGGGTCATACGAGGAGGAAAGTCGACTCGAAGAATTTCTTCGGGGTTCGCGAGGGGTCCTGGAAAAGAGACTCGTCGACAATACCCAAAGACACGAAGACGCGAAGAAGAGTATTGCAAGCCGTGTCAAAAGTCGCATCGACGCGGAAGGCCCCTGGAGGATATGCTAGGGTATTTCAGAGTATTCTAGGAACTTCTAGGGAAAAGGGTTTCGGTTCCAAGGATTCAGTCGGAAATTTCGGGAACGAGTTCCTGGAGGAGAGAAAAACGTTCCGAAAAGGCCGAAGATCGATCCGAGGAGTCCGAGGTTATTCCTGGCATCCAGGTATTTATACGGGACCGTTCGGCTTTTCCGTCGCACCTTTTGGTTCCCCGAAGTGAACCTGGAACGGTCGAAATGGGAATCAAAGTAAAAGGTGCCGAAAACTAACCGGAGGAAATCCGAGGACTTCGAGGAAATCGATTATTGAAGACGTCTTCGGGTATTTGTGTCGCTTTAACCCAGTTTCTTTTACAATTTTTAGACCTCCGCGTTAAATACGTTGAAACGTTTATTCCTCCTTGATATAGGGAGGAAAAGTGGAATACCAAGTACGAAAGAAATACTCTTAGAGGGTACTCAAAGACCGAAGAAAGGCTTAAGGATGACCATCGGGAGTCCCGGGACGGCTCGAAAAAAATCCTAAGCTCTCCCTGCGTTTATATTACCTCCTGGTCCTCTCGCACTTTTCAATCCCCCAGCTGCCTCGAAATGTTTATCCCTCTTCGGCAAAGGGACCGGGACTCGGGAATATCGCTTTGGGGCGACCCTTCGTCGCAACCTGGAGTCGACTAGTCGAAATGGGACTCAAAGGCTTAAGGCACCAAGGACGCCAAGTGGTAACCATCAGAGCCCGCTCAAAGGGGCTCTTGGGTTTAAGCTTAAAGTATAATTAAGTCGTAAGCAATACGGTTGATCCGACCCGTCCTGGTCCCGGTGTCGAGCTATATTTATATGTGCAGGAGCTCGCCCAGAAACGGCCTCGCTCTCGGACGGAATTGGCATCCCGATTGGCGTTAAATCTCCCTGGAGAATGCCGGAGGTCTGGGCCTGGGGTCTCCTGGTCGAAGGGAAACGGAAGGTCGGGGAAGAGGGACGCGAATCAGCGGGGACGGACCTGAACCACTTTGTACGAGTTTCGCGTGAATCGGTTCCTTAAGAAGATCGGGTACCATTTCGCCAGAAAATGGGGAATCGATGCCGGATGCTCTCCGAGGTGTCCTCTCCTACCTCTTCCTCGCCAAGGTCGAAACCTCGTCCGCATCCCAACGACCACCTCCCCTAGTTGATATTAATACAACAAATTCTCGAAATCTACATCCCACTGTGATCCATATTTATCCAGCGATCGATGGTCTCACCCGCTATTTTTGGGGTAATCGACGAACGCGAATCGAGTCCTGGCATCACGCGAGGACGCTGATAAGAGGTCTCGCGATAAAGTCGATATATCATGGGAGGAATATTGTAAATTTCGCAATCGCTGATAAGACGGGTTCGTCCAAGGACGAGGAGGGAAAGTGGGAGACAAACGGTCGGGCCAAGTTTTAGGAAGTGTCAGTTAGCGTTAAGAATGGATTCGAGTTACGGTAAGACGTTAAGGGAGTTATCATTTAAATGAAGTACTCGCGATAAGGCGTTGTAGGGCTCCGCGTCAACTCGTTATTAATTCCATTTCATTTGCGCCGTGAAACTTTGGCGGAATCCCGGCCCTGTTAATGCGGCCATCCCTTAACGGGAATAACGAAACATCTTGCGAACAACCGAGGACTGTCGTCGCCACGAGAGATCTTAAATAATAAGGGACAAAGCTTTCCACCGGGGCGAAATTTTCCCTCGACCCGGACGTAATCGTTGCGACGAGGAAATGGCATTACAAGACTCCAGCCAAAGGCCTTCGCTCGCTCGAGGCATTGCTTAATTAAACCTACATCTGGAAAATCTTGGATTTTCCCCTTTAGTCCGTTTGATCGCTAACTGGCGGAAAATTTCTTCACGTGATGCTATCCGAGAAATTATGCTAAATATTTTAAATGTCGATGCGGATTATTTGGGAAGAAAGAGAATTCTTTGTGGAGATCGTTTTTCGAGAGTAAGGATGAATTACGTGAATTCGGTTAAGTTCTTTGTCAAAATTCTCTTTCAAGAACGGAGACGAGTCGGGTTCCTCTTGTCCACGGTAAAGAAACTGGGAAGTGTTTCGCGTCAAATACATCTCGCGTATAATCGTGGTTTTCCATTTTACCCGTAGTCTCGATGATTAAATTAAGACATTCGTTAAATAAAATTATTCAACCCCCAAAACCCTTGCGATATAAATTATACACTACGAGTAATATAACGCAATTGTAGCAAATTGTATTAAAATGTATCTCCGGCGATATTCATTTAATCTCGACCGGGGTCGACCGTGGACTAATAAATGCGCGTGATTAATCGAACGTGCCGTCCGGCGATTCCATTATTGCCGTGTTAAATCAGTTGAATTATAACGAATTAAAATAAATTAGAATAAATCATAAGTAATCCGAACGAAATAATCGGCGAATTAAGTATTTCACGGGGGTGGAAGGTGGAGAATGGTCAAAATTCTGCGATAAAGGGGTCCGATGTTATCGGCGCAACCCTTGTAACGCGAAAGCCGATAATCGATACAGTAGTTGGGCACTCGTTAACATTCTTCCCCCCATTTAATTCCCGACTTGTCAAAACGAAAGACCGATGGCCGCCATCGTTCAGCCATCGTTCAGCCATCCGGACAGCGGCTGACGAACGAAGGCCGATCGCGTAATGGCGTCACGGGCCTCTCTGTTGACAGTTGTTAAGGGCGAGGAAGGCAAGCGAGTATCCGCTAATTACGTAAACGCGCGTAATGGGGTCAATTAAGAGCGCGAGGACGAGCGAATCGATACGAGCGTCGCGACGCCGCCCCCCGAATTACGAAAAACCCCCGAAAATCTATCGAACTCGTCGCCTCGCGTCCCCTGCGATTTCGAAGAGGGCTCGACGTCGACTTTTATCTCACTCCCTCAAATTTTTTTCCACATTTCCGGTGACGGTAGACCCCCTGTAACGAGGGCGCACTCTAACGAATTCGAATTTCGGTTTTTGCATCTTCTCGAGGGTCGTACTTCACCCGTCCGCCGCACATTCGCCCGCGGTTTCGTCGCGACAGGTTGGACACAATTGGGCAAAATTGGGCAAAATCGAGGAAAATCAACCGCGCGTCGACGATATCTGCTCTCGATCGCGAAACGACGTTGAATGAGAATGTTCGCGGTAGGAAAAAATCAATTGAAAATCCTGACACCGATGAATCACGGTGAAAGGAAAGAGAAGTGCGTAATTATATCTGGAATCGTGATAAGTTGAGTCACTCCGATGAAAAACCTGGAAGAATGACTGCTCCTAAGGGGCGCGTCGAAGGCGAGTCGGGACATTTGCCGGCTCGCTAATGAAATCGTCATCCGATCCAATTACGATTTTCAAGTATTTCATCTCCGAGAGGTTCGCAGCCGGCCACGTAGACGCAATCCCGATTCCCCCCCCGGAAACTCGGGGCATCCCGAGGGACGACACGCTCTTCGCGGTACGAAGGGATCGGGTTAATGCCTTATACGTGACGCAATAATAACGGCGAAGTAACCGCCTCCTGGCAGAAAATGCCGCGAAAAGTGACCGGAAGAAGACCCGGGACCCGGCGAAGAGAAGCCGTGCACTTTGTTGCCCGACTCGCTGCACCGGAGTGCAGCCGGACCAAAAGAAAACGAATTTACCTCTCATTTTTCTACCGTAATTCAGGCCAAGGAATTTCATTCGCTAATTTCCACATCGTCAATTATTTACTAAAAATGGCGGCGGTGTTTTCGTTAATCCGGAGATAATAAAATTCGATGAGACAATTATTCCCGATTTTTTCCATTTTTAGAAGAATTTTTTAATTTTTAATCGAGAAATAAAATTACTTAATTTTCAATGCGTGGCGGAAATTTTCATGGTAAATTTATTTGTTCCAGAGAATGTATTTTATTTCTTATTGTACGGCGAATTTATGAGGAATACGAGGAAACCCTCGGTTTGGCAATTTAATGCAAGAACGTTGCATCGCGTGAAATTGCCACTTCCGGGCAGGAACGCGTCTAAAAGCGGAGTTAATTCCGCGGCATGGGTGTGGGCAATTATGGGAGCGGCTTTGGTGTCTAATGAACGGACATAGCTTTATCCCTTTTTCCCCCCTTTCTTTTCGGCGACGTCATGGCGTTAAGAAGTGGAATTATTCCCGGCTAAGGAGCATGAAAATGTCGCTTTCATGGTTTGATCCTCATCTGCATTTCTCGTGACTCGTCGTCAGCGAGTCTCGCTCCTAATCGTGGGTGCTCTCCATTTTTTAAACATTTTCGTCGCTTCTCCGGAGGATCGTTAGCTGAAAGGCGAGGAATGAACGATCGATGAAGGAAAACCCCACAAATTTGCATACAACGATGCTGCACCCGTTGCATCGAGGATAATTAGAATTTCCGCGCAGAGTCGTGGCTAAAAATGAAGTGA